ATATGGAGTCAGAGTCTTGCCTTCTGACTAGCCTAAGTGCAAGATGATTTTTACGTTAAGATTAAAAATGCATTTTTTCATTTTATAGATTTCAAATTTCATTTGTATAACCTCTAGAACCTCCTAAAGTATAGCAAAAATTGTTTTTCAGTAAAATTTATATTTCATTTGTTATTTTCTGTACCCTAATCCTAAATAAGCTTGGTCTAATCGACTGATCTTGTAACCACTATGAAAACGAGAAAAAGATCTAAATTAACTTTTTTCTTTCTAGAATGACTGCATATTGTAACAGAAAGTGACAATTGTTTATTCTAAAAACCCTTAAACTCGTAACAGTTTCCTTATGATTTTATTTAATTTTATTGTCTTTGAACCATGTCTAATGAATAAACCTGCGTAACAAGTTAGAAATCACCAATAATAAGCATGTATAGCTCAAATTACTGCATTGAATTAGATAATCCACGAGCTTTTCACATGCATACCTCGTGGACAAACGTTTTTATTTATTTTCTTATTTAATCTAATAAGTTTCTCATTTTTACATTTTAGTTACTTTTATAACAATAAGTAAAAATATACATAAAACAAGTAATTTAATACCGATTTTTGGGTCTTGTACTTTTTTCAGTCAAAGACTTGAAGTGTTGATAAAAGTTAACCCTAATTTTTGCTAGGGTTGTTGTGAGAACTTTACTGGATTCATATTTATTTCAAATATTTAACTTGAAACAAAAAATAATAACACATACAAATATACAATGTCCTGTAACTATTATAATTTAACTGGCTTTCTATCTAAGTTATAAGTGTATTAAAATAAGACCCTTAGCTGGTCGAGCTGAACTTGGTGATAGATACTTTGAATCTGTGTGCTGAATAACCAAAAGCTGTTGAAAGAATGAGCCACTACTTTAAATAAATTAGCAAAATAATATCTTCTACTTTTGTTGGTTATAAATAATGCAATAGCAAAGGTCAGAGGAGATTATTAAAATTTTTTGAAAGACAGTAGTGTTATGAGAGAATGGGTTGGAGGCTATAAAGTTTGATTATATCTTAGCAATATCTAGCATTAAAACTCAGAAGTATGAATAGGAGTGGAATGATTAACTAAAATGTGGAATTCAGAGTGAACATGTATCATGTCATACAAAAAATGAAGACTGAGGATTTATTTAAATATTTCCTTTTGAAATTAAGAAATTAAAACTTGTATAATATTAAAATTTGATTTATTAACTATGTATTGATACCAAGTTTACAGACATAAATTTATAATAAAGTAGTTTAATTATGTTTTGAATGTAAATCTGTAAAAAGGTCATGACATGCATACTTTTCCTTACCTGATCAAGAGGATTAATAAAAACATTGGCCAGTTCTTCTTATTGTTACAAACAATGCTTAGTAATAAACTAACCCCAATATCTACTCAAAAATTCCCATGCTTTTAACACTAATGTGATTTTTTTAAACAAGGTAAGAACAGACTTGTATTCAATTGATATTACTTTTGCAAAAAAAACAACAACTGAAGTTTATAACTCCTTAGTTACAACACATAAAAACCATTTTATCAAATTACCCCTTTGTGTAAAAGTGTAATAGTGTCAAAACACTATTTCTAATAACAATAAATAGAAAATTTAGAAGGTATCACAAATAATTTAGTACGTTTAGTCTTTCATTGCAGTTTGCCTCGATTAAAAATAATAATCCTGGTATATAAATATCTTATTTGCTAAACATTTAAACATTCTGTTCAGTTAGCATTAACATATGTTTGTGTTTGTTTGTTTTAAAGCAAAGCCACATTGAGCTATCTGCTGTGTCCACTGCAGGACAGTGGACAAATCCCAGATTTTAGCATTGTAAGTTCGTAAACATCAGAGAACAACATGTGTTTGAAAGATCTATTACAGGCTTTGTTTGTTTGTTTTTAATTATGCACAAAGCTACACAAGGGCTATCTGCGCTCTGCCCACCAAGGGTATCGAAACCCGGTTTCTAGCGTTGTAAGTCAGCAGACATACTGCTGTGCCACTGGAGGGCGACTATTACAGGCAACATGTTTTAGGTGGTATAGAAGTATACATCACAATGTGCTTGAGCTTCCAAATACAAAAATCATTCTGTCATAACCCAGAAAAAACTAACATTAGTAACTTGTGTCCATTCTTCCAGATCTTTAATGATCGAGAATTTAAAAGAAGTTTGCATTCTACTATTTAAAATTTGACTGATTTTGGATTTAGGAAAATATAAGAAACTTTTATAGCAGTACAGGATATCCCAAAAAAGCAGTCTGGTTAACCAAAAGTTTATTAAGAGTAGCCAAGTATTAAAACTAAAAAAAAATATTTACACAATTTAATGTATAAATATTCACATACTTAGGAGATTATGATATATAACCCAACATAACCATGGTGACGTCTTATTTTATACAACTACCATTTTCCATAGTTAAACATTTTTAAAAAACTGTACAGTATAGAGTTAGCTTCAAGCTCATTCTGAAAATTGGACTAAAAGCTTGCTATTATATTAGCTTTAATGGAGTGTAAGTAAACCTATTTTCTGTACCTTTCGCTAATACAGTTTATCTTGAGTTTTAAAGAATAACATTTAATAAATAACGTTCTGAAGCTGAAATGAAACAAAGCAAGTATATTAAATAAACACCCGTTTAAATAGCAAACCTTCAATGTTTTCTTCTGCTCCTAGCTGTAATTTCTTCCCCTCCATCTTTTCCACTGTTTCATCATTGAATTTGTACCATGCCCCAGACACACGGTCACGAATATGGGCCACATAGTGACCAGAATATGCACTTGGACCTCGATGGATCAAGACAGCACTTAAATCATACAAAACTGGACTTTCTGGAGAGAGAAAAAAAATGATTGTCCACATACAGAACTGAAATTGAAAATACCTTTCAATCATGATAAACGGAAGAAATCAAGTAAACGGTACTAAAGTCCGGTAAGTTATCAGTCTTTTAAATGCTGTATGTTTTGTCACTTTTAGGGTTAACTACTAAAAATATACATTTAATGTAATGAAAACGACCAAATGAATATAAAGTAGGAGGTAATGAGCCTTTATTTTTATTTTTTGGAGTTCAACATGGAATGAAACAGATAAAACTATTTATACATATGCTACAGACATAGTAAAAGAAGGAAACATAGACAGTAGGAAATAAATATCCTCTACAAAGATCAGTAGATAAATTACAGAATTATTATTTTATGCAATTATTTAAAAACTACTTTAAGTGAAGGGTACTTATTCACTTTGTTTGTTTTGTTTTGAATTTCGCACAAAGCTACACTAGGGATATCTGCACTAGCCATCCCTAATTTAGCAGTGTAAGACTAGAGGGAAGGTAGCTAGTCATCACTACCCACCGCCAACTCTTGAGCTACTCTTTTACCAACAAATAGTGGGACTGACCGTTACATTATAACGCTCCCATGGCTGAAAGGGCGAGCATGTTTGGTGGGACGAGGATTTGAATCCGCGACCCGCAGATTGCAAGTCGAGTACCCTAATCACCTGGCCATGCCGGGCCTATTCGCTATTGGATAATGTAATCCACTTGTAGCACCTTGGAGATGATCTGATTCATATTTATACCAACAGTTTGAAATTTACAAACTATTACACATGGATGAAATTTGTTATATTATTGAAAATAAGCTCTATGTTATCAGATCATAAAAAAAAAATGTATAATTGTGTAAACTTCAAAAACTGTATTTATTTCCCACTCTCTTATCTATTGCATTTTACTATGCCTGCAGCATATGTATAAATACTTTTATCTGTTTCGTTCCATGTTGAACTCCAAAGAAAAGGCGCATTATCTCCTACTCTACATTCATGTGTTTATTTTCATTAAAAACAACAACATATTTTTGCAATGACAGGAATGTTTTTAACACCTATGAAAAAAATGGGAGATGTTGAAGATATAAAGGCACTACTGAACATCAAATATAAAAAAAAAAGCCAGATATGAATTAGAAATATAGTGTTGTCCTAAATATTATGTTATCTTCTCAAATACGTACGTAAATTATTCTTATCTTAAACTATTTATTCATGTGGAAATATGATAATATAAATATTTTAATGTGTTCATTCTGTCGTGCTAACTATCAAAGAGTGACAGTTTTGATTTTGGCTTCAAACAAACGTGACTGGTGTGTTCATCACATCGAAACATGTGGCATACGGCACTACCTGTTCACATTATGATAAGTAAATATTTTTAATCTTCAAAACGTACGGCACTACCCATTCACATTATGATAAGTAAATACTTTTAATCTTGAAAACATACGGCACTACCCATTCACATTACGATAAGTAAATACTTTTAAGTGTTCACCTATTGAGTATAATGTTTAATAATGAATTTATGCTAACCTACTCTACTCTTTTTGTCCACATTTGCAATGTTGCCATTATAACAGTATGTAACAGAAATGGCAAAACAGTCTTTTTATTGCTAGGTACACAGGAAATAATAAACATTGGATAGATCCTTAATCTTACAGGACCTGCTGTTGTCATGTAATAGGAACTATTAAACATTGGAGAGATCCTTAATCTTACAGGACCTACTGTTGTTGTCATGTAATAGGAATCATTAAACACTGAATAGATCCTTAATCTTACAGGACCTGCTGTTGTCATGTAATAGGAACTCACCTTAATCTTACACCTCCTGTTGTTGTCGTGTAATAGGAACTATCATTGGATAGATCCTTAATCTTACAGGACCCCTGTTGTTGCTGTTGTCATGCAATAGGAATCACTAAACACTGGATAGATCATTAATCTTACAGAACCTGCTGTTGTAATGCAATAGGAATCATTAAACACTAGATAGATCCTTAATCTTACAGGACCTGCTGTTGTCATACAATAGGAATCATTAAACATTGGATAGATCCTTAATCTTACAGAACCTGCTGTTGTAATGCAATAGGAATCATTAAACACTAGATAGATCCTTAATCTTACAGGACCTGCTGTTGTCATACAATAGGAATCACTAAACACTGGATAGATCATTAATCTTACAGGACCTGCTGTTGTAATGCAATAGGAATCATTAAACACTAGATAGATCCTTAATCTTACAGGACCTCCTGTTACCATGTAATAGAAACATTGGAAAGATCCTTACTCTGATGGGGCCTTCTGTTGCCCATATGCCCACAGTAACCAGGTAAAAGTGGGCAAGAGACTATTCAAATAATTAAAATATTTCAACAAAATATATCAAGAAAAAGGGTTAAGCTCATGAAACATGATCAGATAGATTTTGGTGATACTCGTGACACTTACGTCAGAATAAGACTGACGATAATTGAACCAGCAGAGAAGGCTGTGAATAAAAGTAATGTCAGCCTCAGAGCAATGTAATTACTAGCTCTTGATGGTTCAGAGTTTTTCACAAAATCCTCTCAAAAATATGGTAAGGCAAACCAGAAAACATGACTATGAAGTTTTTAGTAGTTTTAATGGTTTTTTTCATAAAACAAATTTCTCTTAAATAACATGATGAGGAAACTTAAAAACCTGACTATACATTTTTAACAATTTTGAAAGATGTTTCATGAAAACCTGCTATGAATGTTTAAATAATTTTGACACGAGCTCTTATCTGATGCAAGTTATTTAGAGAATTTGTTGTAAATTTGTAGTTTTAGTATGCAATTCTATAGTGCGAAATTTTATAAGTGTCTCAGCGCTGTTGAACTGACAATATATGTAACTAACATAATCGTCTTTATCTATAGCGTTATATCTTGCTTTCTAAACTAGAAGTGGCCCATCTGACTGAAATTAAAAGTCAAATGAAAATTATTTTTTTAATAAATTATCCTGAGCTGGAACAGGAGAAAAGAAAATATTTTCATGAAGAAAACAAGATCTGGATAAACTATGTAATAAAACTATGTTTTATGTAATGAAATCAATAGCTTTTTATTATATTCTAACTTTATTGTATGAGTAAAAAAGGATTTTAAAATTAGTCAAAAAAATCTCAAAGATAAAAGTTTTTTGCACACAGTCACGATCTAATGCAAGTTTCTTATTTTCGAGTATGACAACAAACATTAGTTTATAATCTCCTATAACTAAAGCGGTAGTGCTTGATTTTGTTTTGAATTTCGTGCAAAGCCACTCAAGGGCTATCTGCACTAGCCGTCCCTAATTTAGCAGTGAAAGGCTAGATGGGAGGCAGCTAGTCTTCGCCACCTACCACCAACTCTTGGGCTACTCTTTTACCAACGATTTGTAAGATTGGCCATCACTTTATAATGCCTCCACAGCTAATAGGGAGAGCATATTTGGTGGGACGGGGATTCGAACCCGCGACCCTCAGATTGTGAGTCAAGCACCCTAACCACCTGGTAGAAGTAGTGCATACATTTTTTCTCTAAAATATAAAAAAAATGAAGATTCTAAACCATTCTAATTGTACTCTGATACATTTTGTGTGTTTAAATATAGCCCAAGATTTGGTGGTAGGTGGCGAAGACTAGCTGCTCCCATCTAGCCTTGCACTGCTCAGTATCACTGAATTGAATACTGTTACGTCTCTGTTCGTTAGTTAATTTTCCGTAAATTCGTTCCGACGAAACTTTAGCGACACAAGTCCTTTCTTAAATAAAACTGGTTTATTCTTTCCGAATACAACTTTACAATACACTTAATTTCAACAGTCGCTCTATAACAAAGCTATAACTCACGTCTCACATGGCCAACAATATTTTATCCGCATACATTCAATTACTCATTACCTCTGACTGCAGTTCAATTACTCATTGTTCCGTCACGTTGTGACCATCTTATATATACCAGACTACCCCTAATCTAGTAGTCTCCCGACAATTCACGAAGGAACAGGATATTTCTAGAAAAAGGTGGCGTGATACTAGTCATGTGACCTCGCTGACGCAACAATACCATTAAAATGTGGTAAGTATATCAACTTAACCTGTTTATTTCTGAAGACGATACTTGACTGTCAAAAAAGAATACTTCTCAACTGATTGGTTTTCTAACTATAAAGTATTGCTATGTCAATAAAAGTTACTTAGCTAGTGACATTATCTAACTATATATTGTCTTCTCCTATAATGATTTTATGAAAACAATACCAACAACACAGACATTGTTTAATATGCAAAAGGATTAATATACTTCAGATTAATATCAAAACTTAATGCTCAAATTTTTCACGGCAATAAAAATTTGTGCATTAATTGGATATACTGAACTTATATCAATTTTCTTAGTATTGTACCCAATGTTTTATGAGAGACATCCCCTTGAGGCAAATACGGCCTTAGTCTTTTTTCACATGTATAGCCTTCTTCATTGTTGTACAACATCCTTCTGGTGTGTACAGACTAAGGGTGTTGTACGTCAAGAATTTTGTTAGATCAAGAGGCAATGTCTTCAGGTTAATTGTTTACATGTACTCTGAATTGCAAACAGTTCTCAAACATCTGATGAAAAATAAATTTACTTAAAACTTAAAGCACTGTGTTGAATGAATTACCTGGTTTCTGTAAGTAGGCACTCATGTCCAATACTTCATGGAAGCGAATGAATGAGTTAAGCTTCTTCTTCTGACCTGTTTGTCGATCAAAGACAAATCGAAGTAACTGGATATTTAATACTGGAGGAAGATGAAGAAGCCGAATAAAGCGAGTTGCATCTTGTTTTAATTGACACTGGTCACAGAAGTATTGATTACTTCCTTCCAGTTTCTCGTCCTTAAAAACAAAAAACAGTCACACATTCATGCTAGCATTCTCAAGATTTCTAAAACTAGAAACACAAAAACAGGACACAATATTAATATTCACAAAGTAGGGCTAACTCTAGTTAAGCCTACTTGTAGAAGTTAAGAGCAGTATCTATTTCCTATAACTCATTTAACTGGAAGTCCTTTCTTAGAGCTTTCTATTAAATAACATCTTAGAATATTGTAAATGTATGTTAAAAAACATTTATCTTCTATTGAGAGAAAATATGATAAAAGGCTTAATCTATATTTTTCCGAAACTGTGATAAAAAAACAACACCTGCGAAGAGCAAAGCAGTAAGTGTTTCATCATGAGTAATCAAAGTGGTGGATTTAATTGAATTCTAAGAACATAGTTTATGAACATTTTTAAAATTTACTAGGTTAAATTAAATAAAAAGCACAAGCAATATGCAATTCATCTGTATTAACATTTTCAATTTAATTTGTACAAGTTTCTATGAATGAGAGCAAACACTGGCTAGAACTTATTTAAAAAGGGTTAAAAGAAGTTTAAAATTAAGCCTCTTGCTACTTGCTAGGTCTTCAATTAATCATTACATTTGCTTGGGGTCAAATAACTTTATCTAAAAAAAGCAAATGTAGAGGAAGGATATCAAATATACTTTGCTGTACCTGTAAAAACTCTTGGAGAGAACCATGTATATCTTTGTGGCCTTTGATGTTCAAACAAAGTTCATAGAACCTAGAGGGCCTTGCTGACTCAGTACAACATTTATGGCACCTTGTTAACAAAAAAAAACATAATGCTGAAATGCAAAAAGTATTATAAAAATATCAGCAATATAAAATGAAAAATATATCTATTTCTTTTCAGTATTGCATCTTTAGCATACAAAAGTTACGTACTCTTTGGTGATGCATGACTGCCTTTGTTGGGAAGAAGGGTGTAAAAAAAAGAAGCTATATCAAACAAACATAATTCCTAGTTGGAAAAAGCAAAGGGTGAATGTGCCCCTTCTGACTTTTATGTTAGATTCCTATTAGGTGATAGCTTCAAAATTTTAAGAAACAGATAATCATTTTCAACTGTTCCTCTTTATGACAAGATCTTTTATGAGTTGACAAATTGCAACTTTTTTGTGATGATCAAACTGTTGGACTCATCAACTTGTGAGTGGTGCCAAATGAACAATCTCAGTTCTGAGGTTTGCACAAAAGTAACAATTTTCACTCAACCCCTTAGAGAACCCACGTATTTTGCAAAAACCCTTTTACAGGGACTCCCCAAAAGCAGACCCCAAATTAGGCATTGATTTACATTAAATCGTGTAAATAAGTAGGCCTACTAATCACCGTTTGTAACTTGATTAAATAAATTAAACTTGCATTACAGCAGCAATGATCATTACACTGAAAAAAGGTGAAATAGTAGTTCGATTATTAAATTTTCATTATAGTGACTCTGTAAATGTGGGCCAGAGGATCGTAGATTTGCTAGTAAATATATATGTGTTTCAAAAACAATTTTCTTATTTAAAAAAAATACCTTAAAAAGAAGAAAAGCTATTCAAATTCTTTAACTTTGCAATTCATTGATAAATTACCTTGTTATGTAAGCATATTCTCCACTGTACAACTGTTGAATAATGTTTTTGACAAAAGGGTGAGTTTGATACGATAACTTGTCTTCTAACAGGGAAATAAAGAGTTGACTGAACTCTTGTGCATCCTAGCAACAAAACACAATGATTATATTAAACAGTATCCTAGCAACAAAACACAATGATAATAAGAAATAGTATCCTAGCAACAAAACACAATGATTATACGAAATAGTATCCTAGAAACAAACAAAAAATATTTTAATTTTAGTAATGAAAACAATATTAACAGTCAGTAGGATAAAAACAAGAAAATAACTTTAGCTTTATAAAAATAAAACAGAAAGATGGCAGCAAATATGAAATTTAATTTGTAGCATTAAAAAAAATATATATACAGTAATTATTTACGGATTATATATATATTTATTTAAAAAAAAATAGACTAACGTTTTAGAATAATAATACTCTAACAGAAACTGAATTTTTCAGCAACAGGTAAACCCAATGAGTTAGAATAAAACTATTAGTTTCTCGTCACACTTAGACCAAGGCAATTGATAAATTGTGTTGGATCAATGTACCTGTAGAAATGTAAAGAAACTATGTTAAGTTTTATTATGAAGCATAAGTTTTAAATGTGAAGGAAAATATTAAATATATTTCGTCTCATACAAATATCAGAAGATATGGAAAGCAGTGAATGATAAACTGCATGGCATAATCACATGAAATAAACTCTCCAAGTATTTTGGAGTGATTTTGTTTATGACAAACTTTGTTCAGTTCTGTGTTGTTTTTCCCAAATTAAGATAAATGTTCTTACAAAACATTACTGAAATTTGGTATATATAAAAAGACCATGATTACAATTTATAAAATTTTACAAATTTTTTAAAACTATTTTTTGAACGTGTTTTCAATTTGTGTTATTTTTTATCTAAATTTTCTAAATATTTATCTTTGAATGTGAGCAATAAATAATGGAATTTATAATTAGGTTTAATATACACAGAATATTCTTGTACAAATTACAAAAAGCAAATGTAAAATAAATATAAAATACAAAAGACAAATATGAAAAGCATCTATGGTTTGTGGAACCTCACCACATCTGGTCATAATCTATCTGACAACTGTGCATTTTCACAATAGTCCTGCAGCATAGTTTCCATTGCAAAAGGATCTGTCATAATACAGTTATGTCTAAAGCACACCATTGCTTTCTACGTGCCTTCCCTAAGCCAGCTAGTATTGGCTAAGTCTATCATGTGACTTATTTACATATTCAAATGTTTTTTTATATAGTGCATTAAGCTCATAATGCATTGCATTTTCTAACAGTCTAAGTTCAGGAAAACATGCATAAAAACAAAGCAATGAAATGTAGTATTTTTTAATTATACTTATATATATATACACCTACACTACCACTGTAAATTCTTATCAACAAGCTATATAAATATATGTGTGTGTGTTCTGGGACAAAAACACCACCACAGCATTCTGTGTAAATATGTTTCAGAGTATTAAGAAACACAACACATATTCAGCCTGAATACCATGACTAATACTATAAAACACTCAGTTAATGGATAATAAACACATTGAGCACATTATAACTTACACCTGTTTATTAAAAACTAGTCTTTAATTAATTACAAGCACATGCAGAGATCTATTTACTGATAACTTTAACACCACACTTATATTTGTTTGGAGATAAAAAGTCATACTACCAAATATTAAGGTTTTTTTTCTCTTTAACTTTGTTTTCTATGAAACTTTTTTTTTCTTCGGTGGCATATAAGAATCTTAAATTTTACATAAGCATATTTACAAGAATCACCTTACTTTCTCTCACTAAACTGTAGTAAGGCGAAAATCAGCTGTAGGTGACCTATACAGGATGAAGGAGAATAAACACCTTCCCCCTCATTTCCGTTAGTCGAGTGTTCTTTCTCCCCTCTTTCATCTTTAGTACCTTCAAGGATTTGAAAATACACAAATTAGCCAATGACATATAAATTGGATTACCTTTACAAACGTAACATATTACTTTGAAACACAAGATTATGAATTAAGATTTCATGAGCAGGTAACAGTTTACTAAGATTTTCTTAATTTAATGCAGTGTTCCTTTTTCAAAATTGATTAATACAGGATTTTCTACTGACCTTTATTGTGGGCTGTATTTAAAAAGTTTGAAATTGTTTTGTTTGTTGTTAAGCTCAAAACTGCACAATGGACTGTATGAACTATGCTCATCACAGGGATCAACCCCAAATTTTAGCATCATAAGCCCTCAAGATTACAACTTTCTCAAACTTACTTGTTAGTTTAACTAATTACAACTTCCTCAAAACTTACTTGTTAGTTTAACTAATTACAACTTTCTCTAAACTTACTTGTTAGTTTAACTAATTAGAACTTCTTCAAAACTTACTTGTTAGTTTAACTAATTACAACTTCCTCAAAACTTACTTGTTAGTTTAACTAATTACAACTTTCTCTAAACTTACTTGTTAGTTTAACTAATTAGAACTTCCTCAAAACTTATTTGTTAGTTTAATTAATTACAACTTTCTTGAAACTTACTTGTTAGTTTAATTAACTACAACTTTCTCAAAACTTACTTGTTAGTTTAATGAATCACAACTTTCTAGAAGCTTACTTGTTAGTTTAATGAATCACAACTTTCTAGAAGCTTACTTGTTAGTTTAACTAATTACAATGTTAGTTTAACTAATTAGAACTTCCTCAAAACTTATTTGTTAGTTTAATTAATTACAACTTTCTTGAAACTTACTTGTTAGTTTAATTAACTACAACTTTCTCAAAACTTACTTGTTAGTTTAATGAATCACAACTTTCTAGAAGCTTACTTGTTAGTTTAACTAATTACAACTTTCTCTAAACTTACTTGTTAGTTTAACTAATTACAACTTTCTCTAAACTTACTTGTTAGTTTAACTAATTACAACTTTCTCTAAACTTACTTGTTAGTTTAACTAATTACAACTTCTCTAAACTTACTTGTTAGTTTAACTAATTACAACTTTCTCTAAACTTACTTGTTAGTTTAATTAACTACAACTTTCTAGAAACTTACTTGTTAAAGCTACCAACTCTTGTGGATCATCTTCACGCTTCCACTGATAGATGGCTCTTCTAAACAGAGGGTTGTGATACCATACCTATTTGGCAGAATCATAAAGAATGTGAAACAATTAAACTGAGATTTAATCACTCAAAAGCTGTTTTTCTGTTTCAACATTTAGTAAGACATTTTGAAACAGCTAAGCAAGAAATGACAGAACTTCATCTGGTTAACATTCATTTCCAAAAATGAAGAAAAGGATCAGACAGTATTTTAACTGTTAGCAAATCATCTGAAGATAAAACTGTAAGTAAGCCTTCAAGTTTAAACATCAATGCTTGACAATGTATTGACTGTAAGTAAATTATTTTCAGGTTTTGATGAAAATCAACCAAAAGAGATTGAAATGAAAAAGTCAGCTTCAAGTACGAGAAGCAGAGAATAACAGAAGTTCATCCATTTTAAGTCATCTACAGGTCTTAGAAACAAGTGTTAACACAGATTTGATTGTTGTTACATCATCTTTAGGACTTAGAAATAGAAACAAGAGTTAATGATATTGTCTAATAGATTGCTTAGGCAGAGTATTCATGATGAGTTCACTAGAATGGGCAGAAATTGCCTGCTGTAGAAAAAACACAAGTGTAGAGGATGACACTTTAAATTCTTCCAAAATATGAAAGACAGAAGACTTTCAAAATGTCATCCTCTAAACATGTAATTTTTCCTCAACAAGCAGTTGCCACCTATTCTAGTGTATTCAGCAAGAGTCAACAAGTGTTTTAATTGTTAATAACTAACCTTCAAGTTTTATAAAGAAGCTTCATCATCTTCAACTTTTGGAAACAACGAGAGAAATAGTTTTCAATTGTGTTAGTATAATCATCTTCAGGTTTTAGAAACAGTGAGTTAAGAAGGTTTTAATTGTTAATAACTCATCTTGAAGTTTTAGTAATGAGAATGAACAGCCTTTTAACTGTTAGCAAGTCATCTTAAGGTGTGAAACCTTAAAATAAATTGTTAGCTGCCAAAACGCATCAGTTCTGTATCTCCCATATCTATGACTGACTTGTTAATAGTCCAAACAGTATCATTTCTTGAATGTCTACATCTTAACATGTTTCAACGTAAATAATATTAAAGAAAATTTTACATGAAGTACAAAAATGCATCAATCAATGTATTACCTTTCTCTGATCACGCGTCATGACAACTATTGTCGTTTGTAAATCCATATGCAACAGCCGAAGCCAATAAAAATGGCATGTTCCCATTTGTAGAAAAACCACTAGTACTTTCTGCAGTCATCACAATAAACCAACAGTGTGTGTATTTAATACATTTCTCAAAATTTAACTGAAGCTTTGAACTCTCTCTCTCTTGCATTTATGGTTTTATTTTGGCTATTGTACTAGTACCACTATTTAAGCCTAAATTATAAGCAATAAACTGTCCTATATTCCTTTCTGATAAATCTCATTAGGACTACTCATTTTCATCATAAACAAAACTTCTCAAAAGTTACACTCAGTGTAGCTTATAACAGATAAATATATAATATATTATCATGCATTTTCCCGTGTCTTCTAAAAACAAATGATTTTTAAAACCTAAATGTTTCTATACCTGAAGAAAGCTATTTACGTAACATGTTGCCCCGAGGTTTTTCAAGCCAACAAAAGAACCCTGAAATATAAATAAATGGTTTAATTAAAATTTAAATTAAAATTTCACACACATCCAAGCAAAGCCACAAGTAGTTTTATGGTAAAAGTATCCCGGAAAGAACAACAAATGTACATTAATAAACACAAAAAATATATTTCGACAAGTTATACTTATAGCCACATATACTTTAAAATGTTGAAAGTGAGGATAGCACACTCACAACAGGCTGTAAATTTACAGTATTATTCATTTTCGATTTTCTTTCTCTCTCTCTTTCAAAACATTTTTTTTATGTAAATAACATATACATAGATTGTGTGTATAAGCATACACGTAAAGCAAACGTAAATAACACGTGCATGTTTGTTCTATACACATACTATAGATTTTTTCAGAGATTTATTTATATTCTTCTTCACAAGGTATTTTCTTGTAATATAAACAAATATTTTTAAAGAATACCGTGTTATTTGACTACCTGTGCTCTACGTTCGGAATTAGGATCATCAATTTCATGCCAATCCTCGTCTGCGATATCTTGAAGCCAATTTCTTTCTCCTAACCCAACAAGGCAACGAGGGTTACCTTTGCAGTTTCTTCTAGAAATGAAAACTGGTATTATATTTCTACAAAGTTAGAAAGATTCAGGGTAGAAACCTTGTATCAAAAACTGTCAAACTTTAAATACTACCAGACTGTTAAAAATTATTCTAACTCAAGCCTGATTTTACAATTATCATCAATCAAATGTACAATTTATCTCAACTGAAATGCGAATTTTTAGAGCATTACATCAGTACTATAGGAAAAGACTCTACTAGAAGGAGTTTTTAAGCAGATTTCTGTACAAACTGATCAAAAGCAATAAAAGTTAAATCAAAATTGACAAATTATGTAATAAATACGTCTCACAAGTTGGAAGGCTGACAATAAATCCAACCCATTTAACTTTACTTGTTTTCTGTGAATAATGAGAAGTTTTAGAAACACAAACAGAAAAGCTGTGAATTATAATTCTACCTGCACGAAGTTGGTTTGCATGGTTTGAGCTTGACTCTGTAAGCTGTCTCGATGTGTTCAGATGTGATATTATTAGGCTCAACCTTTTCTGCCCATTCCCAGGCAGCTTTATCCAGCTGTTGCTTGCTTGGCATCTGAATGAAACTATCCCACCTGGATAAAACAAAAAAGAAACTTGAATTTAGTTGATTTGAAATACACAAGAACTTCAAGAAACTGGCTTACAAGTAAGTGAAGATACAGATGTGAAGTCACTTTATTGATACCAGGTGGCCTTCTATCATAAAAAGTGTGAATCTGAACATTGTAAATATATCAGATGTCACGGATTTATCAAAAAAAACTTAAGACTGGATTTGTTAAATTATAATTATTGTAAATACAATGTTAACATGAATAATCAACTTTCACAACACCATTGTTGTTCGAAGAACTTATGAAAAGACTAACTGACAGAAGTACATTTGTACCATTGAGGTAAACCAACAAATAAACTAGGCCAACCTAAATACATAAAAATATTTTAAAACATATCAAGTCAACTTAGTAATCAGATTTTGTGCAAAAGTAGATTTTTATCTCAACTTAAACATGACACTAATTACACTGGAACACAATTATTTCCCTCTGGAATAGTATGTGCTGTTAGTTTGAATACTTTTAACTCAAGAACCAGCATGGTTAGTTTAGTATACAGGTGTAACTTGTATGGGGTCAGAGGGACCCCACACTGGCATTCTAGGGTTAAACTTTTGTTTGATACATATATTACACATAAATTACATTTAACTTGAATTAATTATTTTTGATTTTTTTTTCTGCAATAGAAATGATCTCATTAGGCTAAATTAACCTTTGGCCAGTCTACCTTACTTTTCTTAAATTATTAATTTCTGATCAAATACAAGTTCAGTAAGTCAAAACACAGAAATAGCTATATATTCCACCAGAAATCAAAATAGTAGGCATACAGTTTCCTGGACTGTTTTTTACAAATAGCATCTCAATCACTATGTCTGTCATATCCCAGCTGACCTGAACAGCCCTAACACTTCGTCAGCATTGAATATAGCAAATATATGAATGGTTGACATATTCTTATTATACACTTGCCTTTCATTTAGAAGTTCTTACTAATAATAAATCATAAACAGACTATTTACATTCAAGAGGTTCTTGAGATTATGTGGTATTGTTTTACAAATAAACATATGAAAGACTCTGGTTTGGAAAGTGGCAATTTAGACCTTGCTCTGAATACTGTAAAGGATATGATTAAAATAATCAGTTTTACAAGAACACTTGAGCTTTATTAATAATAATATTAATAATAGCTTTATTAATAATAATATTAATAATAGCTTTAATAATAATAATATTAATAATAGCTTTATTACCTTTAGTTTTACATCAGTAGTTAGAAAGGTTTTGGAGAGTGTGATTAAAGATGCATTTTAACAAATCTTCTGACATTCTTTGAGGATGTTACTGAGAGAGTTGATGAAGGAAATACTGTGGATTTGGTTTACCTTGATTTTCAGAAAGTGTTTGATAAGGTGCCTCACAAAAGACTTGTTACAAACATTCAATCTGTGGGTGTGGGGGAAACGTTATCAAATTGATTAGAAAATTGGCTGGAGAGTAGAAAGCAGAGACTAGTAATAAATGGAGTTAGATCTGACTAGATCACAGTTACAAGTGGTGTACCTCAGGGCTCTGTGCTGGGTCCTCTGCTGTTTGTGATTTACATTAATGATATTGACTCTGGAATGACTAATAAAATTTTGAAGTTTGCAGATGACATTACAATTTTTGGGGTGGCTAACTGTATCAAAGATGCTGCAGACTTACAGAAAGATTTAGATCATTTGATGCATTGGGCCAATACGTGGCAGATCATGTTTAACTATCCAAAATGTAAGGTGATACATGTAGGTTTTCACAATTCAAATTATTGTTACAAGTTAAATGGGAATACATTAAATACTGTGGTCGAAGAAAAATATCTTGGTGTTGTGATAAAAATATCACTTAAGTCATCTAAACAGTGTATTGTAACCAGCAATAGGGCTAATAGGATTTTGGGTAGCATCTATAGAAATACTGAATACAAGACAAGAGATATTATTGTTTCACTGTATAGATCACTTGTAAGGCCTCCTCATTTAGAATACTGTGTACAGGTTTGGGCTCCCTTCCTCAAGAAGGACATTGAATTTTTGGAGGTTTATAGAAGTGCCACTATA